GGGGGGCGGGGGGCGGGGGAGGGGAGTCACCGAATGTTTTGTCCTTCCTTTATACTAATGATAGTGCTTTAGAATGAGAATTACACCTGCGATCTGGCAAACAGAAAAAAGTTGCTATTGCAACAACATGGCAAAAACTAAAAGTAAGGATTTCTCTTCAAACCTAAGCTGAGATAGGAACCGAAGCAAAATGATTGGCTACTAGCTCTCTCTCTCTCGCTTGCTCTCTATTGGGTAAATTTGAAAACTAAAAAAAACAACTTGGCACTTTTAAAGGTAACTTCACCAAAGACCGAAGAGCCAGTAACCAGTAGCTCCGCGTGTCTCAGCATCACATCTTCTGTGCTCTTTATTTTTGCCGGACCAGTTTGCGGTTAGGAGAATGTGCCTTTTTTGTACCTTTGCATTTAGGTTTTATAATTTTAACTGATGTATGGACACACAGAGACAAAAAAGCATGAAGGAAGATTTGGATCCAAGCAGTGCCACACTTTATGTCATCACTACAAGTGTTCAAGTGTAAAGAAAACCAACTTTGAAACTATGAAATTCCTGATTCATAAATACACAGTTATTTCTACTTTAGTACATATGAGATAATTCACTGTTATTAAAGCTCTTTTATTAAGGCAATTGCATAAGTTTTAAAAAGCAATGGTAAATTAAGTTGTCTTCCAAAACTGTGTACTTGTCTGGTCAGCTGTGTATGATCAGTTATCTACCTCAGAGTCTATTTTCTTTTGTGCTGGGACAGGTTGCTGGCCCTCCCTGTTTCCACAGACCAAATCCTCCTAGCTCAGGAGCTAGGGCTAAGCAGTTTTTCTTTTTGAGTATTTTTTAGTTCTTAAATTTTATTGCTTGTATTTGATTCTAGATGTCAGTGACATTTCATAGTTTCAAAAGTCCTTGCTGCTCTGAGAAGTGTAGATTCTAGTGAAAATTACATAGTCATAAGAGAAATGTGTTTTTGTTTTTGTTTTTGTTTCCTTTTTTAAAAAAAAGTTGTGGTATTATTGGTTCTACGCTCCCTGAAACATCCTGCTTTACATCCAGACCGAATGCAGCACCCTCCATCAGTGTACCTAGTACGTGTATCAGCCTGGGTCTCTCACTACTTGATATTTTTTGCATTAGTTAGGACAGAAAGTTGATAGCTCAGTTAGAAGGGGAGGGGAAATCTGCTGCTAGACATGTCTGAACTAAGTGCCATACTCGTCTGGGTCAGATTTGGGAAACATAACCTCTGTACATAAAAAAAAAAAAAAAAATTCAGTTAAACATCACATAGTAGACAGCCATTAAATTATAAAAAAATTAATTTATGAAGAAAGACCTTTTGTACAGATTGAAAAAAAAAGATTTTCATAGAGATATCTATATGATCAAGAGAGTTAATTTTTTATTTTTGTTTTACTAGTGCCACAAACTTGCCAGTGGTAACTTATTTGTCCGGTTCAAGATAACTCTGTAGTTTACTTTCTTAGGACTTGTTGTTAAACGCCAAAAGACATTTTTGAACTGTACATTTGATCAGATTGTTAGCTCTTTCTGTTTTATTTCTTTTGAGAACCTTTGAATAAAAAACATCGGAAACTTTATTCTTCCTGTCAATGTTTTTAAAGTAGATTAAGTATGCATCAGAATTCCATTTGACTTCTGAGTTCAGTAGATTGCTTTGGGAGCTGAAAATTACATCAGTATCTATATAGACTGGAAATGCATTTTCCTGAAAAGGATTGATAAACTTTTCTACCCCTTCTTGCCAGTTGTTTAAATCTTTATTGCAACCAGAGACATCAACCCATTATATTTCATCTAAGCCAAAGTTCAGCCCCAGGTACCCCATTCTTGGTCTGCTTTGTGGTTTGGTATTGTTTTACAGTGCTGGAGACAGAGAAAGCCTCGGACACTCTAGGCAAGGGCTCTTGCACTGAACTACATCCTCCATTGGATGTTTCATTGTTTAGAACAGACTGAAAACAGTTCTCATCTACATCAAGCAAACATATGTGGGAATATCAGAATAATTCTACCCCATCATGACCATAGCCTTTATAAAATGTCCTTATTTGACTCTACCCAATAGAAGGCAGCAATCATAGGGTGGGGGGGAGGAGGGAATCTTTATTCCCTCACTGACTGACTTTATGGGAGGCACTTAATACAGGAAATCGACTCCTGCCAAAGTGAATTAAATGTTTTAACATGGTTTGTATAGTATTTTCTGTCCAGTGGCTCTATCATGGTGGTAAAAGGAATGAATAATAAAAAGGCCCACTCTATATATCTTTTATTTAGTTAGTAGTGGGGGGGGGGGGCATGTATGCCTGTGCCATGGCACACATATGGAGATCAGTACAATTTGTAGGAGCTTGTTCTCACCCTCTAGCATATGAACGTGTGTGGTTGTCAGAGGATAGCTTGGGAGAGTCAGTTCTCTCCATCATGTGGGTCCCAGGGATCAAGCTCAGGTCATCAGGCTCAGCTGCAGCCACCTTGAACCATCTCGCTGGTCCTCACTCTGTTTTCTGAATACCTTCCCCTGCAGTCCACAGTGTGTACGAGGGAGTTAGAGCACTTCACTTCCAGAGCTGAGAAAGCCCTGGTACTTGGTAGCTCCTTGAGAAAAGCAGCAGAAAAGCAGCCCCCCCCCCCCCCGGGCGCGCCCTCGCCTTGCAAATTTTTTCCCTGCAGATGGGAGAGGGATCATTGGATACACAGGGAGCACTAATGAATGTAAACCGTGGATCCCACTGTACATACTACCCACACATCTATGTGCTCTTTCCTTTGAATAGTGACCAGAGGTCAAAGGATGTGCTACTTAGGATGCCTGGCACCTTAGGCTTTGTTAACTTTATTTTTCTTTCTTTTTTTCTATTTATCATAAGTCCCAGATGTTTCCAACTGACTGACTACATTAGAGTCATCCTTGGTATCCACAGGAGAAAGATTCTAGGACTCCCAACAGATGCCTGAATCCACACGTACTCAAGTCCTTTATATAATAAAGTGGTCTAATTTTTGTATATAACTGCCCATATGGTTTGAGTCACCTCTAGACTGTACGTTAGTAAACACTCCTTGGAACACCTATGTAAAGTCCTGGATGAAACCTGAGCTCAGACAGAGACAATGGCTCAGCACACAAAGAGGAGAGGCCACACCGTTGCAGATATGCCAAATCTTGCTGACAGGTTAGCTGGTGTCAAGATTGATTGCCTTTTGGCCTGAGAAGGGAGAACGTGCAACTGTGGTTTGGAAGAAAGAGGCCGTGGTATCTGCCTTCTAGTGAGGTGGGGAGTCCCACTGTCACCCCAGGATCCATGCCCTTCATGGGCAGTGACTTAGTATGTCCACTGGAACTTGTATTCTATAATTCTGCCTCTTGGTTTTCACAACTGCCCTCCCAAAAAAAGTATCACTAAAAGTTGGGGCTGCTTAAATGTTAACACCCAATTGACAGTCTCTCTCTCTACCGGGATACTCAAAAAGGGAAATATCCAGTGATTCTGGAACAAAGGTCAGAGACCTGTCACATTCCCCTCCTCCCCTTTCTACAAAAAACCCAAGATGTCCACTAGGTAGTTGGGGAGAAGGGAGGACTCAGCTTGTGTTTAAGGAAAGCCAGGCAGTTTCTTCCCTCAAATAGAGATAAGCACCCTCAGCTAGGGCTGAGAACAGATTGGTGATCACATGTTCTGCAGCTGTGGATGTACTGGCTAGGATCTGGTCCTTGGCACAGATGGAAGGTGCTCTGTGCTCAACCGTTCAGTGGGATCAACGGCACAGCATTGTAATTTCAGTCTTATTCAAGGGCTGGAGACTTGTTTCCCATACTTGGGCTCAGTCTCTGTAGAGCAATATAATGTTTGAGCTGGAACCACTAGAGGGAGGATTTTATTCAACCTTCAAGGTGAGCCTTGAAAGGGACAAGGCACCGAGGGACCAGGCAGAACCAAAGGGACCTAGAGGACCAACTGCCAGAGAATGTTTAGACTCAGAGCACACACTGCTAGAGCTAAGGAGTATCTTGAATTTGGAGTTCACCATAATATCTCAGAGTATCCCTGTTGTACCTAGTTAGGTAAGCTCTCATTGTGAGCAGTGTTCCTCAGACTGGGTAGTGACTTCAGTAGGACTTTTAAGGCCATGAACAAAGGAGGAAGCCACAAGCCTTGCCAGACATGATGGGGCACTAAGCACCAGCAGGTCTTCCTGGGCTGTTCAGAGTTGAAGGCAGGTGGCTATAAACTCTAGTGCCATTATTCATTTGTCAAACATGCCATTCAGAGGGGAAGATTTTATCTCGGCCATTCCATTGTTCACACAGACACATCATACATAAAGGAGCCTGGGTACTTTTTCCCACGTGGTATCGAAGTAGAGGTAGCCCTGATTGGATACTGCCCTGTACCTCATAGAATATCCTGTATCTATATAGGAGCCCTCAATCCTGTTTGCCAAGTCAAAAGTGTGGTGATTTCTACGTCCCACCTTTGGTCCTGTCAACTGGGATAAGCCAAATTCTGCTTCAAAAGAAGTCATTCAAATTGGGAACTCACTCAAAGGCTCTGCACTGCTCTGGGTTGAACAGTCTCTAAGCTGTATTCTTCCTCTTCAGTGCTGCCTGCACACTCCACACCATCAGCTTGCCTTCCACATGTACTACAGGTGACTCTGGACAATACTAGGTCCCAAGGAGCCACCTTGAGCTTCACCTGTGCCCCTGTGCCCCACTCAATCCCTCTAAGGTGAAGTAACTTCCTTTCTGACTTC